TAGAGGTTCTACACACCATACATAAAAATAAATACATTACAGTACCTGAACCGCTATGTGTTTGGTCCACCATAGTTAAAGCAAAACAAGTATGTGTGAATTGGAATGTGGCACATAAAGCCACACCTCAGGCTTTAAAACTAAAACCAACCTTTAGTTTTAAAGCTGCCATACTCTTAACCACCAAATTACAAACTCTTTAAGTTTCTATAGAAAACCAAATATTCTATTCAAGAGACACAAAATGTTAGATATACTTAGTGTATATCTACCCAATAATAATAAAAAAAAATCAATGGACTAGGGGTATGAAGAAATATATTATGAAGATCGTGTGATATTTATTCGCCCTTTATTCAAATGAAGACAGAATAAAATATTTTTTTTATCTGTAGTAATCAATATGATGCCACAAATAAAATGTTGATTTTTTCCCCCCAAGTCTTGGACTCTAACTTACAAGAACCTCAGTATACTTTGTGGATTTCGTGGGGGCAAATCATAGTCCCTGGTCTGAGGAGGGGCTATCTTGCCCACAACTCATAATGCAACATCTCAGTGGGGCCTATTAATTTTCCATACACACAGAGCCAAATTCTGCCTGGGATTATTATGCAATTTTCAAAATGGCTTTAAGTCTTTTAACTTACAAAGTTACCATTTACATTGCACTGGCCCGCTGGCTGGGATGAATGAATGGACACTCTCTTTCCCAGAGGACCATAATTCATTCTCTGATCATAGCTTATACATTTGGGAAAATTGGGATCAGTGTGCCTGGCGCCTCCCCTCCCCTCTGCTCCACAAAGGAGTCATACACGGAAAGAGAAGGAGAGACAAAGTAGCTGTGTGCCATAGAGCTCAGAGGTGTGGCTAGGGAGGTGTTGACTGTGAGCAGCGCCAGTTTAACATATAAGCAACTGTCTACATGATGTGATTTCAGGTGCACAAAAAAGGCCTCATTGCCCCTCAGTTTAAACACTCCCTTCCCACTGGTAAATGCCTGGAATTCCACAGTTTTTTAGAGCTCTGCTCCTTTGGTTTAAAGCTTTGATCCCTGTTAAAATACTCATACCCCTGGGTGGGCAGTCCCATTATATCCTGTCAGCCACATACGCTGTGAGCAGATGAGTTTTAAAGTTTCTTCTCTGAAAGAATGTTTTCAGGGTAGTGTGAAGGGGAGAAGATAGGGGGTGCCTGAGGGGGATGGGAACTGGGCTCAAGGGGCAAAGGGAGCTGGACTCAAGACAAACCATGTGTGCTTGTGTGGCTTTGTATGAGCCCCTCCTATGGCGGCAGCTGTTGAACACTCTTTCTTAACCCTCTCCCAGAAACCCTGATTTATGCTGCTTTTGGAGCCATGGAACCAGACTCTCCTCCCAGCTACGGCAAGATAATAGCTGCTGGCTGCAGCTGGGAATTCTCAAATTCATTTAAACTGGAGACTAGGAATGAAAGGTGAAGAAAAGTTCTCCTGGGCCTGCTGTGCTAGGTAGGCTTCCTCTGAGGTCCGGAGAGAAAAATGTGGCTCAAGGATGTTATCTAAATGTTTCCAACTGGGCCTGAAAGCACAAAACCATGAATTGTAGAAAGTGCACACCGACTCAATCAGCACATCCTTTTGTGTTTCTAGGCTGATTGTTTCTCTTTGTCTCTTCTTACTAAAGAGCAAGGATGAGTCATTGACCTGACTGCTAGCAGGAGAAAGTTATACAGTATATAATGAAACAAACAGATTTTATACTTAGGTAAAGGAATGAGATTTTAGTCAGTAAAATTACATGTCACTGTGGAGTCAGAGTGGCCAGCTGCCCACGGTGTTCCTGTGAGCTTTCTTGACTAAAAGCCTATTCCTCTGCACCTTATCCAGCACCTAAGATTCCACTGTTAGAGTCATCACTTGTGAGCTGGGAGGCTAGAAAATGTTTGAGAGGCACTTATTAAAATTGAAACCTTTGAGTAGTTGGGAGGAGTAGCAGAAGCTTTTAAGCAAAAGGCATATTTCACAGAACCCCAGGGCCAGTCTGCCTATGACCTAGCCAAAATCCTAGTCATTCAAAAGTTTTGCTATGTCCTCATATTGCCAGTAGTATTTAATGTTTTTCTTTAAGCCAGCTCACATTTTATTGAAATAAATTTATCACAGCATTTGGCTTTGTCCTGATGGAATCATGGGTTGGATTCTCTCTCTCTCTCTCTCTCTCTCTCTCTCTCTCTCTCTCTCTCTCTCTATATATATATATATATATATATATATATATATATATATAATTTTTTTCTAATTCATAATAAAATAGGTATTTTTTGAAACAAAACTAAAAGACTTCACTGGCCCACATACCACACTTCACTTGGGAAGCACTGACCTGGTTTATACAAAGAGTATTAGATATAAAAGGATATATTAAAAATAAGTTGCAATCCCCTTTTTTCAGGGTCCTCAGTACCCTGCAGTGAAAACAACTGTTGCCTTTGTAGTTAGTCGCATGAACTCTGGAAGATCATGAATTTATGGGAGGTCATGTCTTCCTCTGCGGGGTCATGAAATTCAATCAATGCTTGCCTTCCAATCTGCCCTTTGGTCACAGGGCTCCACAGGTGGAACATATCAAACTCACCAGCCAAATTATGACTCTTAATTGGTGTTTCTTTTAAAGTGGATATGTCATTTGTCAAATGTTCAATGCAGGAGCAGGCCTAGCCCCGGGCAAAATTATGAAGTAGGAGAAGAATGCCAGATACATAGGCAGCACTCAAATGTTTGTTGAACAAAGAATGAATGAGCCCTCCGTCCTTGACTCTTTCTCTCCCATCCCCCACATCCACTAGGTCACTAGGCCCTTTTAATTCTATCTCCTAAACATTGCTGGTAGTATTTTTCCCTTCCAAATCTCCTCTGCAACAGCTTTTCTCATTTCTTGTCTGGATTATTTTCACAAGTCTCTTAACCAGCTTTCAACTTTCTTCCTTCCCCAAGCCATTCACCACAATGTTGCCGGAGAGATCTTTTAATAAGGCAAATATGATCCTGTCACTCCTCTACTTAAAATGTCCCTAAGTGGCTCCCTAGGCTCCTTCCCATGACTTTAAAACTCTGCATCATCTGGCACTTGCTTACCTCTGCTGCTAAATCTCCAGCCTGAATCCTGCTACCTTCCAACTAGGCCACACCAGGCTCCCTCCTCTCAGTCTTTGTTCATGCTGCTGCTTTTTCCTTGGCGCCCTTCTTCCCATCTTTTTTTTTTTTTTTCCCCTTCACCTCAACTCCTGCTGGACTTTCAAGCCTGAATTTAGGACACCATCTCTTCTGGAAAGCTTTCTCAGACCTTGTCTCTTGCCCCTTTAGAACTCTGCCTTTACCTCTGTGTGAGCACTTACCTCATGCTGTGCTAACATTTTTCTGTTTGCTTGTCTTTCCCATTAGTCTTGTAGCTCTTTGAAGTCAGGTACCATAGGTTAATCTTTGTATCCCCATTGTCTATTTGTGTCCCACAGTATCTGGTACGTAGTACGAGTTCAAATATTTGCTGTTGAACAAATGAATGAACAAATGAGCTCCTCAGTGACCTCTCCTTTCCTTTGCCTCTTTTCTCAGACCACAAGTCCTGCTAAATGACCTCATCTCCCCTAACCTAGCACTTCCAGGAGAATTCCTGGTGTGGAGGCTCTCCCTTTTCTTTACTTATTAAAACCTATGCTCACCTAGATCAGACACAACACAATCGGATGATAAATGAATTCACACTGAGGTGTTAAAGTCATTTCATTATACAAATGCCGAGTTTCTACTTATGTGCTAAAGTGTGTGTGTGTGTGTGTGTGTGTGTGTGTGTGTGTGTGTGTGTTTCACAAAAAAGAATACACGGGTTAAAGATCCTTACTTAGGAGCATATAAGTAATGGCTACATGCATTCTTCCTGAGAGAAGTATTTGCTTTTTAAAGAACTGGATTTCTAATGGCGAAATTTAAGCAGGAGACATGGAGAGTTGGGTGTAGGAGACATTTCAGCCTTCTATTTCACGTATGAAACAAGCTAGTTCTCGCTCACTGAATTTGCTGTGCACATGATTTTTCTAATGAGTTGGGCTGCGTTAAGCCCCAGGTTATTTTGCTGTCACCGGTTATGCTCTACCTCATGAAGGATCACCTGGGACTGTCTTGCAGGAGACAGATTCTTTTAACATTATGGGATCAGATGCTTTCTCCGACTTTGTGTGGTTTTATTGAATCAAACCTCGTAAGCCGCACAGGCTTTCAGACTTTCTAGGTACAGTATTCAAAGATGAGGCAGGCTGTGAACCCGCCAACGAGCCCCAGTTGCCATGGTTTGTGACTGTTTGCAGGTCGGGTTTGTGAACCCAGCCGTGGCTGCGATGGGAAAACCTTGCGATGGGAAAACCTTTTGAGGGAAGCTCCTTGGAGATCAGGGAGAGGAGGTGGATTTTGTGTGGCTCTGGTGGCCAGAGACAAGCTGGACCAGGCTGGAAAGAGACCTGTGGCAAAGTAGAGAGGGGCGCTTAAACCGGGAAGGATGGAGATATTGCAAAATCCCGAAAGAGAAAAGCTCTCCCGGCACCGCCAGCGAGCGAGCGGGCGGAAGGAGGAGTAAGGCTGGGGAACTTCTCCCAGAGCCAGTCAGAGGGGGGACGGCTGCAGGGAAGCCAATCAGCACGCCCGAGCCCGCAGCCCCTCTGCAGCAGTTGTGCCAGAACGCCCTGTGTGCAACGGAGGCGAAGGGGGTGCGGGGCCGGGCAGCCAGGAGCTAGCTCACGCTCCGAGCCCGCTTCTCGTGCAGCCCCACTCGATCCCGATCTTGGCGCTGCGGGGCTCCAACAGTCCCTGCAGCCTGGTGCCCCCCCTTCCCCAACCCGCAGGATCGCCATAGCCCCTCGGCCGGCGCGGTTCGCCTCGCCCCGCCCCGCCTGGTCCTTCCTCGCCCCGCCCCTCCTCGACTGGCCCCGCCCCTCATCGGCTGACCCCGCCCCTCCAGTGCAGCCTAGCGTTCCCGCCCTCGCTCCGCGCTCAGGTAGCTGCGAGGAAACTTTTGCAGCGGCTGGGTAACGGCACGTCTCCCGTTCCTCCGGCCACTGCTAGCCTCGCTGCTTTGGGGGCTGCTCTTGTCCCCGTCGCCACTCTCCCGCGCTCCCCTCGCCTTCCTCCCAGCAGGATGGCGGGGTCCGTGCGCACCGCGTGCTTCGTGGCCGCGATGCTGCTCCACTTGGACCTCCCGGGACAGGCGCAGCCTCCACCCCCACCGGACGCCACCTGTCACCAGGTTCGCTCCTTTTTCCAGAGACTGCAGCCCGGACTCAAGTGGGTGCCCGAAACCCCCGTACCAGGTGAGGAGGAGTCCCTTAAGCTCTCCCGCGCCCAGCATAGAGCCCCGGGGGCGCGGGGTGGCAGGAACCCGAGTGCTCTAACCCCGGGAGGGAGGCGGCGATCCTGAGAATCCAGGGGCACCGGGGGTGCTCGTTGTGCCCGAGGCAGACCGGGTCTCCCCAGGAAGGAAGAAGAGTGTGTGTGGACCGGGCTGCATTCCCTGCACTCGCTCTGCTGTCAGGGAAGGTGCTAGCGGGGAGGATCGGCCGTGATGGCCTGTTCCCAAGCGCCCATTTTTGGGGGGAGGGCGGGAAGGTGGGAACTGGCTCCCAGGGCCTCTGGGAACGGGTGCCTCACAGCCAAAAGGGTGCCTTGAGAATTTGCCACGCTTGCCTGCACATACGTGCCAAAATTTCAGCCGAAGCTGGACCGAGGCTCCGGCCATTCGGTCCTCAACCCGCGCGCCCCCTTCCTCCCCCCCCCACAGCTTGGGTCCCCAGCTCGTGGGCCCAAGTGCAGACAAAGTTGAGGTCCGGTCTCCAGATCTGCAGTGGTAAGTAAAGACACACAGAAGGAAACTTTTGAGCGCGAGGGTCTCCTACATGAGAAGGACCGAGCCTTTTCTCAAAAACAGTATCCCTTCTCTAGTTTGGCAAAATCGCTTCAAAAATGCTGGCCCCAGGAGCAGGAGTCCAAAGATGATCTAACTCCTCCCCTTCTCAAATTCATCACCCTTTTTTGACAGGCTGGACCCTGAAGGAAAGATGATTTTAAGTGGAGGAAAGTTCCCGAACGCCTGCCTTTTGTTCTCCACTCTCAGGTCTCGCTGGAAGGGCACATTTTATCCTTAGCCGAGGGCTGCCGCTGTCAACAGATGAATATTAATGGCCTTGTGTGATTGACCGTCCCATGGTCGATCCTAAAAGCCTACCTTAGAATATCACCAGAACAAGTCGCTACACTGACAGTGAGGGCAAGAAGAGTTGGTTTCAAACATGTTAATTTAGCCGAGGTGCGCTCTGCAGAAAAAGGCGCGTAGATTCACAAGCCTTAAGGCGTCTGTGGCCTCCCGGATCTCTGCTCAAACCAATGCATCTAGAGAAGCGCGGATCCCGTGCTTCCGAGGGATCAGGGATCGGGCAACCACCCTCGCACAAACCAGGCTCTTGGGCTCTCACCAAGTTAGAGAGGCGGGCCTGGTGGTTGGACCAAGTTGTGGGTGTGATGCACGCCCTGTGGGCACTGCCAGCCAGCGTTCACCAGCGGGAGGTTACCTAGGCAGCCAGCGCGCCCTCGGCACCCTGGGCACCCTCGGCCCTTTCTTTAGGTGGATAAAAAGCCCAGGCGAGCGAGCCTGCTGTTTAGTTGCAAAGGTAATTGGCCACCCTTTTTTGGCGACTGAAATGCATTTGTGCATATGTTAAATAACGCCTTGCAGGACTTTTCTCTAAGGAAGGGTAGAACTACCTCTTCCACTGTTAAGTGTTAATAGCATACCACGTGGGCGTGTGCAGGAGCTGCAAGGGGCAACCTATGAATCAGTTCCACGGAGCTAAAACAACAGGCGAATCTCTCTCCCCCTCAAAGTGCTATGGTATTAGATTGCTAAAGCCAGAGAACAGGCTTTTGGTCACAATATAAAAATTGGTCTTCGCAAGGTAAGTCCCCACAATGTGGGCGATTTGAATTCAGGGAGTAAAGGTTGTGCTTAAAAGAAGAAAAGGGCCAGAGGGAATGCACATACTGATTGAGCAACCCCCTCTACACACACACTCAGGCTTTCACTCCTCCCCCCCCTCCCCTCCCCCAGCTCTGGCTGCCTGCCTCTTTGCAGCATCTGTATAAAAGTATTGGGAGGGCCCACACACTGTGCGTATGAGATTTGGCCCGCACCCACCTCCTTTCCCGCTCCCTTACTCTGGTCCTAAAGATGGCCATACTATAGAGAACAACAGGGACTGGTAAATTTATTATTTCCCACTAGCGTTTCTCAAACCCCATAGGAAAAATCACTTTCCAAGGGTTTTTGCCATATAAACCCTATTTCACTTCCATTTAACACATGCAGTGTTGAGTATCTTCTACATGGCAGGCACTGTTCTGACTTGCCTTGGAGCAAAGCCAAAATTCAAATATGGTGATATCCATACAGCTACCATATATCCTGGATTTACTGGAGCAGTGCATATTTCCAGTACTTTGTTCTGGCATAAGACCATGTGGTCTGAATTTCAGTTGAGCAAATATTGTCACTGTAGGTATGGAAAACATGGTGAAAATCCTAATGTCCATGTGTGGAAAGAGCTCATCAGTATTTCAGAGCAGAGACAATAATGGCAGACTAAATAGAATGGCAAGTGTATAATTTCCAAGTGAATAAATGTGTAATTTGCTGCTGTTGATTAGTGGTTGGAAATTGAAAGAGAGCTGCAAATTATTTGAGTTACGAACCATCATGATGGCCACTTTTCATCCCCCCATCTATATTTTAAGCAATGCTCAGTTTACTGGCTCCGCTGTTTTAACTGCATTAAAGCTTTCTTTGTCCCAGATAAAATGAGATTGGGTAACAGTAAAGAGAAATCCTCAAGAATGTCCTGCCTCACTTAGGAGGAGCATTTGGAATTGAGTGCTAACTTTGGCCATTAGCAGAATTGGGTTAGAGTGGATAAGGTACATTTCTTGTGCTAATATGGATGCAACTAAATTGCATTTGAAATCAGCCAGCCTAAAAAATAAATCATTGGTGCTGGAGGACTACACCAGACTTCCACAAAACTGCTCTAAAGCCTTACAATCTCACTTTCCCATTTCTTTTAGAGTGTTCAAAGGCACAGGATAGTGATTCTAATAGTATGTCCCCGAAATCCATAGATCTTTTCATACCCCAGACTTTTTTTCTTCTTTTTTTTTTTAAGGATTTGTAACTTGGAAAGCACCACAGATGGAAACCAGGCACACAGAGTTAGCATTTGGCAGAAAAATCCATATAACTGACTTTCAGTGTAGCTCTTTTGCCCTTATTTAATTTAGAAAAATTCAGAAAAAAAGCCAATGAGCTCATAAGCCTAGATGTTTATTTTGTTTTGCTTAACCTACCCACAAGCGCAATCAAGAATGGATACCATTTTAGACAAGGAAAGTGAGTTAGTAATCAGACAATGATGTTTCCAATTGTCTCAAGGGAATGCAACAGAAGTCTGAAAAAAAAAATTCCTCTAAACAAAAATCAAGTGTAATTCACTTTATGAATGCCATGCACCACTTTCGTAGGGGGATGATGGTGAAGGGGAAGAATGAGAATGAGAAAATCAAACTTAACTGTGAAAGTGTTGCAACTCCCTAAAGATTGAGGAATCTTGCCTTAGAGGGCCTTGTAAAGCACAAGAACCATTGCAGAAGGCCAAATGCCCCTATGGGTAAAAGGCAGCCTTTAAGAGCCAAATAGACTTTGGAGTTTCTCAAAACAGATGAAACAACACAAAGATAAAAATCGGCGTTTTTGAAACAAAGAGGGCATTTGGTATTTGTTGTTGTTTTTTAAAGTGTCAGATCTGGCTCCCCAATTGGTTTGAAGCAGTTAGTGGTCCTAACGTCGGAGAAAGTGAGGTGTTGGGAGGTTTTTTTTTCCCTTCTCTGAGATTGCACTCAACATTTGGGTGGGCAGGTGATTTGTTAAAACTTTGAAAGAGTTGTATTATTGTTTGTTAACTTGAAAGAGTTTAGAGAATTTTTTTCCCCAGTGCCGTCTGAATACATATATTGTATTAATCCTGATTGGCGCGTAGATGTGCTTAGAGGGGCGCCTCAATCTGATTGTAAAGATGGTTGATGATCAGTGGAGCACCTTGGCCTGAAAGGACACTAAAACTGCTTGCTCCTTGGCGGGCTGTGTTAGGTGCTGCGGGTATCCGAGGGGTTAGAAACGGTCTCTTTTGTTAAGGCGCTCACACTCTAGTGGGGGAGCATACAAGTAAACAGGCTCTCAGGAAACTTGTAGGATTAAATAGGGTGAAAAGGGCTAGAAAATACCTCCAGGAAATTGGCTGAAATGGTCACAATAGCCAGCCTGGGGAAGGGAAAAAGAACTGAAGAGATGAAGAGGGAGATAGGGAGGAATCTCTTAATAGGACCGCCATCTTAAAAAAGTTTTCTTAATTCTTGGAGGGAAATTCCGTTTGTAAGCATTAGAAAAAATAGGCATAAGAAGGTTTTGATGGGTGCTAGATGCCAAGGATAGTGTCAGTTTTGCAATTCTTTTCCCCTTATGGGCTGATAGGTTGTATCCAGTATTTTGATGCAATATTTTTGAGCATTCTGTACTCCCATCTTTAAAGTTGTAATGCTGGTTGTTCATTGCAGCCTAGAGAAAGGCTGCTTATTATCAACCTGGGGGGAAAGAGTCCTGGATTTGTCTGCTATAAGACAAGACAGAAAAAATATGTTTTCTCCTTAAATTGCAGCTATCAATGACCCTGCCAACTTTAGAGTTTGATGCATATATAAAAACATGGGTCTTAAGGGGTATCTTATTGCTCATTTCCAAGAAAATTGAAGATAATCACTTGTAACTTGTGCACACGATACATCATTTGGAAAGAATTTCGCTGGGGATCATATTGCTCAACTGAAAAGTTCTGGCATGCTGAATTTGTACATTTTTGTGAATGCTTCCTTTTACTCTGATCTCTAGCTTTTTTCTGCATATGGTTGTTTGTATGTTTTAGATTATAAGCTTCTTAAAGGGAAAGCACTGCTTTTGATGCAGTGTGGAACACAATGTTAAGAGTACCATAGAGCATTTAGTAAATAATTGACAATAATATAATTTCTAGGTTATTATGTATTCTCTATGAACTCTCAAATACTTTCTTAAGCTACATGTCATCTTACTTATTTTAAAAACCTAAGTCCAGATTTTTTGTAGCATATTACTGGGGTATGTGCACAAACTTTTTGGACAACCTCTATTTTGACTAGAGACAGATTTAGGCATACTTCAATTAACTGGCAGCTCTTA